ACCTAACCCATTACGGGACACCTAACCCATTACGGGACACCTAACCCATTACGGGGCACCTAACCCATTACGGAGGCACCTAACCCATTACGGGACACCTAACCCATTACGGAACACCTAACCTATAACGGGATACCTAACCCATTACGGGGTACCTAACCCATTACGGGGGACCTAACCCATTACGGGACACCTAACCCGTTACGGGACACCTAACCCATTACGGGATACCTAACCCATTACGGGGGACCTAACACATTACGGGACACCAAACACATTACGGGACACCAAACACATTACGGGACACCTAACCCATTACGGGACACCTAACCCATTACGGAGGCACCTTTAGGTTGTTTTATTGCCCACAAGTGGTGAAAATGCGCTTAATTGTTTTTTAATTGACAAAATAAAATTAACACTTTTACAAGAAAAAATATATCCGGCTTTAACTATGAATACAGGTAAATAAATACGTAAGATAGTTGCTTGTTTATAACAATGTTAAGATGAGTACAGCATATTGAGGACCTAGCAAGTTAAATATTTGATTGTTGGGGTATCGCTTGGTTACAGAAACCGTTTGAGGTTGTGGGTTTCATTTCCAACGTCAACATTTTTGTGGAGGTTCAGTTATTATTCGTTGTTTTTTGGTGTCTGCTCGATCATCTTCATGTCCTAGGATTACTTTATGCTTATTGTATGCTTTTGACTTGGAAGCATTAGGCCATTTTTCCATTCTCCACTCAGCAGAAGACAAGAAACCCCCCGATTCCGCCGCGGCCCACATTTTAATCGCCTCTTGGACAGTTAAAATCCAAGATTGCTGCCTGGCAAGTATAATTTGAGAAAAATCTGCTAAATCCTTCCTGAGAAAAGCGATAACAAGAAGACGAAAGGACGATAGAGGATAGACGCCACGATTCGACATGAAGATACCTTGGCCCTATGGGCCCGTTAACAAAAAAAGGAGTTAAGTCGCCTTCATTAAGAATTTATTGATGAACCCAAACACAATCAGATAGAAATATGAGGTGATGAATTTAAATCTTATCTATAAAAATAGCTTATTAGTTTTATTAAGTCCAAAAAACAAAGTTTAGTGCGGGGACTTACTTTCTTACCAACTCCTCCCTATGGTTCAATGTTGCCGATTCCGACTCCTCCATATATATATAACAGAGTCTATACAAACAAATCCAATAAATCGTTTTGATTTACAAACATTTTACACTAGACCATGAGTAAGCAAGATTTACTGCCTACTAGAACATTAAATGTCCTGTGTCACGTTCTTCATCTTGTACACGGATACGTTGTCCGATGATCTCCTTGCAGAGACAGCACTTATCAATGGTGTTCCTAGCATCACAGACAGGACAGCAAACAAGATGGGAGCATGGAAGGAACACAATAGCTGCATCATTAGCAAAACATATCTTACACAAGAGCTTCCCAATTTGTACCATCTCTGCTCCAAAGAAATAAGTTGATTAGAACAGCAAAAAGATAAAAACAAAATGTTCGTGTCAACAATTTTCTGCGAAAAGTATTTCATATGAGACATATATCTAGGTAAATTTAGCAGAAAAGTATACTAGAGTAAAACAAATAAGTAGAATTTTCTAGGATCGAAGTCAAAAAACTTTCTACTCCACACTACACTTTATCAATGTTATCTAGGAATTGTAACTGTACAATATCAAGATGATAATGAAACCTTGCGAGAGAAAGAAAATCTTAGCAATTATAAAATTATTTTCTATATACAAGGGAGAAACTGCATGAGAGCTCCGAGGTAGAATTCTTCTTCGGAAGAATAACTGATATAATGGTACCATATAACATAACTACTGAATTATGCAAAATATAAAATATCATTTCTCGTTTTAAGTAAAGTCGAAACAATTTCTGTAAAAATATTTTAAGAACTGAGAGGTCAATGCCTACCCTGTAGTCTCGTGAACATTATAATACCTGAGAGGTTTATACCTACGCTGTGATGTCGTGAACATTCTGAGACCTGAGAGGTTTATACCTACTCTGTGGAGTCGTGAACATTATAAGACCTGAGGGGTTTATACCTACTTTGTGGTGTCGTGAACATTATAATACCTGAGAGGTTTATACCTACTTTGTGGTGTCGTGAACATTATCAGACCTGATAGGTTTATACCTACTCTCTGATGTCGTGAACATTCTAACACCTGAGGGGTTTATACCTACTCTGTGGAGTCGTGAACATTATAAGACCTGAGTGATTTATACCTACCCTGTGGTGTCGTGATCATTATAAGACCTGATAGGTTTATACCTACTCTGTGGTGTCGTGAACATTATAAGACCTGAGTGATTTATACCTACTCTGTGGTGTCGTGATCATTATAAGACCTGAGGGGTTTATACCTACTCTGTGACGTCGTGAACATTATAATACCTGAGAGGTTTATACCTACTCTGTGGAATCATGAACATTATCAGACCTGAGAGGTTTATACCTACTCTGTGGAGTCGTGAACATTATAAGACCTGATAGGTTTATACCTACTCTGTGGTGTCGTGAACATTCTAATACCTGAGAGGTTTATACCTACTCTGTGGAGTCGTGAACATTATAAGACCTGATAGGTTTATACCTATTCTGTGATGTCGTGAACATTATAATACCTGAGAGGTTTTTACCTACTCTGTGATGTCGTGAACATTATAATACCTGAGAGGTTTATACCTACCCTGTGGAGTCGTGAACATTACAATACCTGAGATATTTATACGTACCCAGTGGAGTCGTGAACATTATAAGACCTGATAGGTTTATACCTACTCTGTGATGTCGTGAGCATTATAAGACCTGATAGGTTAATACCTACTCTGTGATGTCGTGAACATTATAATACCTGAGAGGTTTATACCTACTCTGTGGAGTCGTGAACATTATAAGACCTGATAGGTTTATACCTACTCTGTGGTGTCGTGAACATTATAAGACCTGAGTGATTTATACCTACCCTGTGGAATCGTGAACATTATCAGACCTGAGGGGTTTATACCTACCCTGTGGTGTCGTGAACATTCTAATACCTGAGGGGTTTATACCTACCCTGTGGAATCGTGAACATTATCAGACCTTAGAGGTTTATACCTACTCTGTGGTGTCGTGAACATTCTAATACCTGAGAGGTTTATACCTACTCTGTGGAATCATGAACATTATCAGACCTTAGAGGTTTATACCTACTCTGTGGAATCATGAACATTATCAGACCTGAGAGGTTTATACCTACCCTGTGGAATCATGAACATTATCAGACCTGATAGGTTTATACCTACCCTGTGGAATCATGAACATTATCAGTCCTGAGAGGTTGATACCTACCATGTGGTGTCGTGAACATTATCAGACCTGATAGGTTTATACCTACCCTGTGGTGTCGTGAACATTATAAGACCTGAGAGATGTATACCTACCCTGTGGTATCGTGAACATTATAATACCTGAGAGGTTTATACCTACCCTGTGGAGTCGTGAACATTATAGTACATGGGAGATGTATACTTACCCTGTGGGGTCGTGAACATTATCATACCTGAGTGATTTATACCTACCCTGTGGAGTCGTGAACATTATAAGACCTGAGAGGTTTATACCTACCCTGTGGAGTCGTGAACATTATAATACCTGAGTGATGTATACCTACCCTGTGGTGTCGTGAACATTATAATACCTGAGTGATGTATACCTACCCTGTGGAGTCGTAAAAATTATAAGACCTGAGAGGTTTATACCTACCCTGTGGTGTCGTGATCATTATAAGACCTGAGAGGTTTATACATACTCTGTGGTGTCGTGATCATTATAAGACCTGAGAGATTTATACCTACCCTGTGGAGTTGTGAACATTTCGTTTCCAACTCTTATTACACTATTCGGATCATGCCCACCAAAGGCCTTCGACTGTAATCTGTCAATCCTTTTTACTTCATCATCAGAGACAGCATCTTCTTACAAAAGAATACAACCATCTTAACAAAGTTTCGTACAAGTAATGACGATATAATTTCATAGATCAGTTGAAGTATGATGAAATTACTCGTCCGTAGCACAAGATGTAATACATTGAATTAAGGTGTATTATACAAATAAATAGTTTCATAATTACAAATAGGTAACATATACACTTAGGTAATAAAGAAGAGATGTGAAATGCTACAGTCGGTGTTTTGATTTCGTTGGTAACTGATTCTTTAATAGTATCTACGACACATGTTAAAAATTTTACATAAAGAAATTATATAAATTACATAATGAAAGTTATTTTTCACCTGCTAAATGATTAGTCTGTCTTGCAGTCTGATTGTTGTTGGTAGCATATTCTCTGCTCTCGTCGTGGGCTCTATTTAAAACTGGTACATCTTTATAGGGACGCTGAAAACGCAGGATATCTGGGTCCTAAAATACACACATAAAAAATGTAGATTCAACATATATAACGTTTACAAACATAACAGTTTTAACTTGAAAAGCAAAGCTGTAAAAGTTTTTTTTAAAATAGGTTGTATTAGTAGTCTTATTTATTCGTTCCGATGTGTAAACTACAAATTTACATTTTGTGTTGCACTAGTTTCTAACCAAAAATTGAAGTATTTGTTGGCATAATTATTAAAACATATAATGGAAAGGGCTTTTTTAAGTTGTATAACCTGTGCCCAAACCCGTTCCTATTTTAAATCCAATCCAATTCGCATAAATTATTTAAAACTACAAACCTCTCTTCTGCAACCATTCTGTTGACTATCCTGCGTCCGGTCAGTGAGGTGTTTCGGGGGGACGTTTCCTGAATCTTGTCCCCGGCCTTCTGACACGTTCTCATTGCCTGTGTGTTGTAACATGTTGTATGACAGGTCAGGTACATCTCGATGTGTGGTACGGGGAGGGTTTGTCCGCGGATTCATAGGGAAAGGCATGTTTATAAAACTAACGAGAAGAAGCAAACCGATTAAAAAATTAAAACAAAACAAAAATATGAGTTATACGCAAGTAGTACGCGCAGACATCACCTCCGAAGTGCACAGTTAGGGTAACACATAGTCCCAACTATCAAGTGTTCCACTCGTAGGTTTTCGCATTTGTTGCCACATCCTAAATCCTGGTTTCATTTCCTTGATAATCTTCCGTAATCTACAATATGAAGAAAACACAAATATCAAAGTTAAACCATGACAGTTTTAAACTTGTTTTCTAACACATAATCTATATTAAAATAAGAACCATCTGACAGAACCAAAGTCGGTGCAGATAAATATATACGTTCATCTAATCTTGCATATATTATTCTAACTGGTGAAATTTGACCAAATAACTGTAATATTCTGTTCGGCGTGATAAATATATCCTTATATATTTTTTTTGTCTTTTGAACAATATGTATTGGTACCGATGGGTGAATATTTACCTTTTGATCTAGACTAACTTCAAGTCTAAGAGGATGTACAAGCTTATCAGTCAGAGATAACTTTGTACACAACTCATTGGGTCTAAACACAAACCTAGTATGTCCTAGTTCGTTGTTCATTTATTTTGCATTAAGACCCATCCATCTTTAAGTCCACATGTATCATTATAACAACAACGGATATTTTGAATATGGATGCATGGCTGTGTACGTTAAGAGTGACGCAGTGTTACAATAGACTTGCTGTAGTGTTCAGTAATGATATATTTAGGTTATATTGAATAAAAACGGAATTCAGTGAAGACGAATGAAGTGTGATATGCCTATAACATGGCACTCATAAACCAATCTTAAATATAATGATACAGTTGTTGTTGATTTGCTTAAGGTCTCGATGACATTAAAAGCATAACTGTGGATTTTTTGACATGTTAAAAAACAAATTCCGAGTTACTATTTATAGTTTCTTAAGGTCTTAATTATAATAACAATAATTTTGTCAAATCCAATCATCCCTTTTAACAGATAAAACGTTTAAATCACAGATTAAAATACCCCAGACAGGGTAAGAGATAGATGGACTGATGTAATCTCAGGCAGAGTGTGAAAAGGCAATTTGAGAACACAACCAGAGATCTGAAAGAGTCAGGCGGTCAGCACAATGCGACAGGGAAGCGATAGGACATTGTAAGGAAGGGAAAACAATCGTGTATTTTGATAATGCACCATAATACTTGGTTGACATGCATAGAATTAAAAAAAAACAAGAATTAACTAATTAAGTGATAAATAATGCCCCTAACTACATGTCTCCAGAAAAGATGTGCCGGGAAAGAAGGCGTCTTTTGATCCATTGATGACTACCTACAAAGTAAAACTTTCCTAAAGCCTTCGTAAACATGCGTCTTCGTCAACCCTGTGTTGTTAATTTGTCCTCCAGCATTCGACATTTATTATGGAAATCATGATATGTCTACCAGGTCGAATGAACTTCGAGGTGTAAACACTGTATGTGGAGGGAAGCGCAGAAGATACTACCAAGAAAGGGAAAATTCTCGAAGAGAAGTTGCCACGTTTATCATACAGCTACATAGTAAGCCGTCCCTGCTGTTAATTTTAAGTAAAGTAGCTGTGAGAAGTCTCTTTGTCCTTTGTTTTCAATTTATAGTGGATATAAACGATCGGTCAACGAATCGGTGTTATTTAAACTCATTGTTGAAAAGGAAACTGAAGGACTTGACAAAGTCTTTGTTACCTGACTAAAAAATTCATGCCATTGAACAAAAAAAAGATATTATTTATAGGAACGTAAACATTCTCATAATTATCGCAAAATATTTATATTCTCCAAATAGTTCAAAACCATATATTTGTACTGCCGTTTACCTTTCCTTGAACAGAAAGTTTAGTAAAAGAAGGAAGGTTTTATGAAGTTTTGTATGATGTATGATAGTGTACAGGATAGTAAAATAACATATTCTAAGAGTAAAGTCAATTATTTGTTTATATGTTTTTATGGAATTTCGTGAAGTTTCGGTTAGACAACACAAGCGAGGCACGTCCGTTTCATTATCATTAATAAAAGTTTAGAAATTATTTAAAACAGAAAGAAAGCAAGATAAACTATTACTTCGAAAAACTGGACAATGTATAAGAAGGGCTTCCTTCGTTATCTAGCGAGCACTAGTTCTTCATGTAAGCAGGGAGTGTAATTGTCAAAACAACTAAATCATTTAATGGTTTGCCAGCAGAAACAACCACACCATTCACTGCTCGCTAATAACTATTTGGTCACGTGCTGCGACAACACAAAAACTTATTAAAGCCCAAAACATCAGTATCAAGGCACCATGAGAAATGGGCGATGTATAAAACAGTGATGTGACAGCTGTATACATAGCCATGTAAACAAGTCCCCACGTAGCTATGAATTTAGATAACTAACATATATACTAGTATATACATTTGAGTCGAGCTATACCTATGTCTTTTCTACAGATAGACCAAGCAAAGTAAATGTTACTAACTATTATTCAGAAAGTAAATTCTCATACAGCTCTTGTTTAACACAGACTTGATTTTCACACAACAGCGTTGTATTCGTTAAGTATCTTTTGTACTGTATCAGCTCCTCACACCACTCATACAAGAGTTATAGCCAATATGATCAATTATATATATGTACAAACCTGTTTTTATTCCACGACTAATTGGCACACATTTTTCCGCCTAGGATTTCTAACATTTTTGATATTCCTGACACACGTTCACATATTTCTACAATACCTACAGTCTACTGGAAAAGTTCTGTCATCGAGAAAATCTTCTCAACTCATGAAAATTCTCTAAAACTTTGTTTAAATGTGTTGTAGAATGAGTCTTTGGTGCATTGAGAGTTATGGTAGCTCTTTGTATGTTTTATCTTTTTAAATATCAATATTTTTCCGTAATTCTTCTTCCCTTTCATCTTTGTTTAGATATCAGTTCTACTTTTTTCCTTCCATTATTTGATCTCTTTAACTTCATAGTCATCCGAAGTTTATTAATTTTTGTCTGTCCTTACCGCTCTTCTTCTAAGAATAATGTCCTCCATTTTTAATCAATTAAAACGGGGAAAGTTAGCACAGCACAACAGACTTTCCTTTCCAGATGAAAATCTAAGGTTTTGAAATGCTGAATAAGATTCCACTAAGTGTGTATTTTGTAGTATTATACATGTGTATACTGTTAATACGTACAGTTCCAAGTATCTAACATACAAACCAAACATGCTTGTGTGGTCAGGGTTTTCCAAGTATTTGGGAACGTCTCATTGTGATTAGGGTTGTGAGGGGATGCCTTAGAATTTCTTCAATGACTCAACGTAGAACAGTGTATATAGTAGTGATGAATGCTAAAACGTAAGTGATGGTATTTTGTTGTGATAGACAGGCGAAGTGTACCTCCATTCATCTTTGCTTAAAAGCCTCAGAAATACCACATGATACATGAGACACCAGGGACTACGGAGGACATTACCATACCACATTGAAACATCGACTTATGATCAACAGTCTCCATAAACACCTTCGGTAAGTGAGGAATAGAGGATAACGTAGGAGGAAAATATGATAGCATTCAAAACCAGTATTATACTCAAGTTGTCTTCACTTGTTTGTGTAATCTATGTGTAACACCAATGAGACAATCATGGTTTGAAAATGGAAAATGACAGAGGGCAGATAAATACATACAACGGATAATGTTAAACATCAGAAAAGTAACACTTCCACTACTTACAGAGAAAGTAGCAGGCTCTATTTCTATTATTGGTCTAGAGTATGTATGGACATCAGAGGCTTCCAGGGATAATGTCTAAGTGTGTTCATCTAAATGTTCCTTATGTTTGACAGTGTTGTTATGTGTCCAGCACCTGTGTATTTAAATTGCAACATCTGGGATTGATACGCAAAGAGTTTCGACCCGATCTGACCAGGTAAGTAAATAGCATACAGTGTAAATTAATTTCAACTTTGACCGTATCATTCGTTTTCAAGTTTTATATTCACTTCAGGTTTAATTTCATTAGTTTGACATTAAATTGGACATCTAGACATATATAGGATTACTGAATATTAGTTGAAGGGATATATACATACACTGTCAGTGAATTTAATTGCTAATTGAGAGATGTTCCAGTATATGGGGCATTTCTTAAACTGCACAGCGGCCTAACTTAATCAGTACATTTATCTAATTAAAATAGTACATGAGGCCTATCTAAAACACGTACATTGCGTATGTAAACATTGTACACAACTAGACAGTCTACTGATATTATGATCGAATTAAACGATTGCAATAGATATGGTATCCATTATTGATTATCTATTGGTTGCACACTTATGGCAATAGCATAGTCATCAAGACTAAAAAATAGTAGAATATTTCCCCGCATACGTCAAGAGTGAAATGGCTGGAAATTAGTCCAACCAAATACAGCCTGTTATACAGACTAGACTATCAGATAATTTGTTCATTCACTTTATTGTTTATACTAAATGACAAATCTATTGTTTCATTAAGACGAGGCGAGACTATCACTAGACAGACAGACCCGACGTCATTTCTATTTTAAAACCTCTTCTTGGTAAAATGATCTAATGACGTAATGGAGCTTCTATTAATATTTGTATCCCCAAAAGACAATTTCAGATATATAAAATATGCATTGTAAATTTCTGAACTTAGTTCATTCTTACAAATCACATATGTGATAAGGTTACTTGTTTCGGAATAACGGTATTGTTTTTCATTCAAAAATGAAAGTACCGTCTTGAAATCTATATATTTTGTTTACCAATGGGGTTCTGTCAAGAGTATCTCGGACAGATATATTTCATACCACACTCAATGATAATAGTATCAAAGGGAGTTCATTGCGACGGTTGTTTCAATGACGACCAGAGTCGGTGTAAAATCTTTCTGTCATGTTATTCATTGACAAGACTTCTATAACAAGACAATCATAGCAGAGGATTTACACTCACAGTTTTTATTATTATGGTACATTGTATACATACGCTTACTACAGTAAACAAGAATACATACCGTTATCACAGTAAATAATATATCCTTACTGTCTCCTCAAAGTACACACACAACTTTTGGCAAAAAAATACTTATATTAGGTCATTTCCGCTTCCGCTTCAGTACCTGGAAAAGGTCTGACACAGATTTTAAACTCTTTGCATTTGTACACTATGACCACTATGTGTGTGTGCCCCTTTTGTTTTAATGGGCCCTATAAAATATTTATATGGCCCTTGCTTTTTGGGGCCTCTATATATTTATTTCCCTCAAACTTCCATGTCTATGTCCCCTCATCTGTGTCACCAGTAGATTACAGTAGCCACACCAAACACTAGACTATAGTACTTGAAGTTTATAACTATAGTAATTGAAATGTTGAAATCTATGAAACTCTAATTATTATTTTCTGTGAACATGTATTAATTGGTTCTAGTATACTCTTATTCATTTGAATCTCTCTCTCTCTCTCTCTCTCTCTCTCTCTCTCTCTCTCTCTCTCTCTCTCTCTCTCTCATATTTATATATGAATGTATGACATGTGTGTATCTTCTCCTGAAAGAGCTTAAAGATTTTGTAGTCAACAAGATTTGCCAAATTCTTGATGGCCACAGTTATCTCTTTGGAATAGTACCATAGTTAAAAATATATACACTTTACTCAATATTAATTAGACATCAACCAGTACTCTTCTGTGTTTGTAATACGGGGTTTTATGCACCGGTTTCAAAAGTAGTTTAGACCAAATTTTATTTCTGCCTTTTTGTTCCATCGCATTGCCGGCATCGCCTAAAAGTACGAAAGAGCGGTATGCTGCAGTGCAATTCATTTTCGCATACTGTATCAATTAACAATCATGCACATGCATTTGTCTAAAGTTTATCCTTGTAAGGCTAGTTGGTTTGTATGACCTATATTTATGTATTAATCCTATGTTTATATGGCACTTTATTTGTGTGGCCCCATGTGTGTATGGACCCTTAGTGATTTGGTATCTTCGCGGTATATTTATGCTATATTACGTTACCATTTTGCTGATAAAAAAAAGTAAAATAAATTATAAAAAACACGATGTTAATCTAACAATGCTGTAGTACCCTATATTCACACTGTACCTAATTTCCAGCCAAAACATATTTCTGTATCAGCAATCTGGTAACACAATGGTTTACTTTAAAACAATTTAGTGATCTTTCAATAATTTATTGGCATCGATCAATACATAGAATCATAACACAATTCCACGGCTTCTGATATGAAATGATCAGTTTTGTTATTTAAGGAGCAGAATTGAGATCAGTGTTATTTGTTTTACCTTGTTGACTACTTCCAGAGAAAGTTAAACTATACACGAATTAATTGCTATCTGAATTGTAGCTTTAAGACAAGACATGTATAGAGTCAAACTCGACCTAAAAACATCTTTATAAACGATAAACAGCAGAAGATTACGTATGTGGTTATAAGTCTAAAGTAAATACATATATTAATGGTGATTTGGTCGTATGAAAACTGTACACGTGCTTATTGGCCAAAGGGACGTAACTCGTTATTTCTATAAATTATGTAGATTCTACATTGCGTCGTCTATAGAGTTAACATTTTATCCTGTTGTGATGACGCTGCGATGTTGATCGCACTTTTTATTCTGAAGCCTTGTATAAATAAATTGTCTCTGCAGGAGATTTTATAAATTGCATCTTTGCAAACATATAATTCAGTATGAGCTATATATTATAATATGCATTACGTAAGCTCCTTATCCTGGCGAATAACCGTTATGATAGATAGATAGATGTCATGCATTGTTTACGATGGTTCTGGTGGTTTGAGGTTAAACGCGAGGTAATAATATATAACACGTGTACTGAACACTTCGCAATTTTGAGATTACTGAAATGGTAGGATCTTTGTTCGTGCGTATCAGGTTATATTCTTACATAATACAAAAACTAGTCAGTCTGTACAGAACGAGTCGAATGACACAATTAATCCCAAAGTGATCGTAACAAAATCTACAGAATCACTTTTAAATAGTGCCACAAGAGGTGTCATAACCATTTCCTCACATGTCATAGCTCAGTGCAACAAAGATATTCTTTAAGAAATGTTCATCTATGTTAATATAGTACGATAGAACACATGATAGAGATGAACAACCGTTTCTACCTTCGTTAACTATTTTCTTACATGTTTGGAACCCGCATTGTACATCCAAACGTTCGTTGATTATTTCGTTTCTTTATAAAAGTTATACAAACATATTTGGAACCCAAAATATGCATCTACCATGATATATAAACATTCGTTGATTATTTATTTTCTTTCTCGTAAAATTTCGTGTGATATATTTCATTGCCTATATCATTCAGCGTGACCTAGATAATTCAATTATCTAAATAAGACTGTTTGCAAACATTCCTTGAGTTCTTGGTTGCCCTAGGAATCGATAGAATCTTCGAATCTTTGGAATCATCATCTAGGACCTGATGTTGGCCTGGTTGTCGCTGTTAAAGTGCACAATGTGGCATAGCCCACCTTGCTTGAAGGCCTTGTTTTCGTTTGGTTCTGAAACCCCAACATGTAATGTCGCTCGCCAAGTTTGTAGTTGTGTTAGTTTGTTAATTCACAAGAGGATCAACACTGGACACCGAGATCTGGCTTATACATGATATTTATTCCAAGCAAGCATATGCACATTTATAGCACGTTTTTCTGTCAACATTTCAAATAAAAACTTGAAAGGCTAAAACTCACTTTTTAAGTAAATTAAGTGTGGCACAATTGAAAGATCGTGAGTCGTTTTTAAGTAAATCTAGATGTTAAATATATTTTAACAAATCTTCAAATTAGTCGCACATGCATATTTATATATATTTTAAATAATATATGCACGCGCTTATATTTTTTTTATAATATTTTTTTGTTACCAACCAACGAAAAACTTCGGTTAATCGCCGAGTATGCAGAATGCTAATTGACACACAAAAAGTGCGGCTCAACACTAACAATTAAAACATTTTGATAAAAAATAAATGTGAGAACATCAGACTTTATATAAATACATCCTTTGATAGAGTATGTACAAAAATTAGGGGGTATACCCGATTTTTTTGTTAAAAATATGTCATCCATCAATGATTTATCTGTGAAATATATAGATCAATATTTCTGAAGAAGTGATTTTGAGTCATGACAAATGTGCCTCAAGTTTTTGTTTACTACCGTCATCAGTTTCTTCTTTCCAACAACAAAAAATCTCAATAACATTTCTTAAGGTTTATAAAGATAACAGGCAAGAAAAACGACTTCCTCTTGGCACTTGATTAGGAAGCAATAACTGGACAATTATTTCAATTCATTTTCGATAATTTCAATCAAGTCAGCCTGATGATAAATCAAATCACGATTGGTGAAATCAAATAGGTATAAAATTAACCTGCAAAGAACATAAATAGAGAAACTGACACAGTTATACGTAATAGTTCTTTTATAATACCATGCAGACAAAATATTTATTTTTTTAAAGAATTCAGATTATTTTAAACATAAAACGTTCTATCGTGTAAATGGTGGATTTTTGCTAAGTCCATTAGCAACTTCTATGATAAAGGAATTATATCATCCTCTCTTTAAGTTGAAAATGACATTTTCTTTCATTCTATGGACAAAACTAAAGCAATATAACAACCTTTTCTTTTTAACTTCTTTCTGTTTAAAAAACTAGTGATGACATCTCTCGTATTGATTAACCTCCCCTTAGCCACACTCAGTTTTCTAAAATCATTATAACTGATCATGTTTGTGAGTCGAGATTCAATCTATTATAAAAATTGTTTTAAAAAAGAAAACAATAACTTGTGGTTAAATCCAAAATGCGTATGTATTTAATTAGGTAAAAACAACCTCATTAAATTATAAACGACAATCAATCAGAATTTCAGTGCATGGATGAAACAATCAATCAATGAGCCTCAAAACAAAAACAATCAATAAATTGCTCTAATAAAAGTTAAAACATCTGACCAGTTATAATAACAAATCCTTTGGTAGAGCATTGTAGACAAACAGGCCTTATAATCTGTAAATAATGCTGTGTATCTGGTAGTCTTTTAGAGGTAGATGTTTTCTCAATCCTTTATCTTTAAAACATCATTTTTCAAATTTTGTTTTAATCAATAAAGAAAAGTTTATAAAAACTTATATAGATTTCAAAACACGGACTCTCAGACTCAACATTTTAGAAAAAATGTTTATGAAACCATCATCAACTGGTTGCTTAAAATATATTTTCAGGAAAGAGAGATTAAGGACATGTAGAATTTAATAATATTGAATTATTTTATAACGTCTTGAACAATACCATTAATTTGCCTATTTTGAAGGTTTCTGGGATAATACAAGTAATTGTGGATTTTTGTACAAGATGAGTCTCCCCTCATCATTTATGAGTGAAACAAAGTAAATAAATTTTAGGAGCACAACAAAGTTAAAAAAAAAACCCACATATCTTAATACCCCACTTTTTCTTATTACTGAATATGTTCTTTGTAATTAATCGTTCATCAACAAAATTATTCAACTCTTGCAAAAAAAAAAAAAAAAAAAAAAAATTAATTATCCACCCAACAACAAAATGAGAATCATTATTGTGTATCATAATGCTACAGACATAAGATATGTCTCCGTATATATTGAAAGAATGCATATCACGTGGTCCTGACCTGCAATTGTATAGGCTGTGTCTTTTATCATTTTTCTCATAAAAGTATTAAGTCAGGATTTAGGATGGGTGTTGATATCTTCAGTAAATATTTCGTACACAACAAGTGAAATAAACCTAATACATTTGTATTTGTATGTCGATTGTTAATTGTCATTCTAAATTTTAGTGAAACTATTACAGAATACACTAGGCTGTTATCATCACACTGCCTGACGCATTCAATAAAATGAAAACATTTACAGTTACGCTCATTATTCCATGTCACAACTCTAAGGCACCCGATGGTCTATAAGTTCCCATGAAGTTCTTATCTTGTTTGTTATACATCTGTTTGAACCGCAAGACCATAGTCAATGGGATTTTGACATATATCACATTTGTCATTCGTGTTCCTGAAACAATCGGTACAGCATATCTGGTGACCACACGGAAAGAATGCTATACATATGTCATAGATCCTGCACACTTTACAGATACTTCTCTCCCTCAGATATTGGTTTTCGAACTTCAGTTTCTTCATATCTGTACAAAATTATATAACAAATATTAGAAAAACAGGACGAGCAATGGAGCTGCTAGGGTACATAACATACTGGGCAAAAATGTTATTAACAAGAAAATAAATATTTCAATTAGAATAAATAATCATGGTATGTTTGCAAACTTTTTTACATAATCATTGCTGAAATATTTCGATTGGGTTTTTAAATAACTCCATAATTCAAGCCTACATGGCAACAAACAACACTGCTTAAAGAGTGTTGCCTTTTCATGTCATAATCGACAAAGTATGTTTAATATAAGTATACCTTCATTGTTCAATCCATCCCCGACCATCACAACATTTGTGGTCACCTCTTTACCAGAAGGCTCCTGTTGCAACGTTTGTATTTCTCGATGAACAGCTTCAGGTGTCAAATTTGAATATGGAATTTCTGAAATGACACATGCATGATTGTTATTGACCAAGAGTGGAAAGTATGTCTACCAAGTACAGATGTTGTATAGCTTTCTCTGATTAAAATGCAAAATCTTGAATGATTTCTCTTTTCAATATTAAGTAATACAAGCGCAGATTATCTGGAGGTAAAATTGTTTTCAAAAACATCAATCAACAACTCTTCTTTTCGTAGAGTGTTTTTTTACATTTGAATAAACGTCAAAGATGGATTTCCTTGGACAAATGTGTCCATGATATATTTTGCTACATAGTTGTGTTGTTCGATGATTTATACATTAGGCTTGTACCTGACCAGATTTTGTCCATCGCTGTTTGAATTTGAGAGATGTCATACCCTCTTCTCTGTAACACCTCTATTACATCCCGTCTATTCTGTCCATTTTCCCCTTTCTCTTGTTGGCGGATTCTAATGGTATCCTGTCATTATATATTGTTGTCTTAATATTTGTTCATAACAGAAAAAATACTAGTAACTAGACCTTCAAACGGTAAAGCATTACAGAAAAAAAACAAAGATGTGAAGTTTCTTGTCAAGAAATACTAAATCAGAAAGTCATTATAACTTGCGTCAGGTTTTAAATTATTTCGTTGCATAAATTAAAATTCGGACAACATCACGCATTTGAAGCAAAAAACTAATATGTGACTACCTGTCCGACATTTGAGTGCGGGTAGTTTGATGCTATGGCCAACAGCTCCTGGGGGCTTTCGTCAAATACTGTTCCAAGTTCTTCTCTTCCATTAACACCAACATCCGCAATCTCATCAAAATATTCATCGCTACTTTCATTTAATTCTACATTTATCTCCTGGTCCTCTTGAGACAAAGTTTCCTCATTAGCAGACGTTAATCCTCTATAGTGTATTACAGAACTTGGCTCAGTTCCTGTTCCAAACTGAATTGGCGGGTTCATTAGGAAATGATGATCATTGCGTGACTGTAGAGGTGATGGCATTTTGTAGATGTCGTCAGGAATGCTGGTTTATGTCCATTTAATTCTCCAGTAGCAGAATTGTCAATGGTTATAACATTGCTGGACTGCTTGTATTTGTGGTTATGCAAGTCAGTGTGATGAAATCACAGATTTCTGTTATTCACCTTAATAGCATATACCTGGTCCTTGTACTTAAATCGATGCTTGTCAGGAAACTTTTTCAATCACTCGGTAAATGAAAACAATACTTTGCATTCATCAGCATTTTATAAAGTTTCCCACTTGGATTTTGCATGAATCGATTTTTCAGTGTTCGAAATGTTATTGTTGGTTCCATAGTAAACGTGATTTTAAAGATGCTTTAGATGGACATTCCTTGAAGAGAGTAAAGCTGGTTTGTTACGTCCCTCTCCTTTTTATGTGTATGTCGCTTTCTCACTGACGTGGATCCTCACAACTATCAGAATACCAAATGTGTTGTTGATAATCTCCCTTTTAATTGAGAACCAACCACGTCAGACACAGCGGATAAAGTTAAGACACAGCGGACAAAGTTGAATGTTGAGGATTTCGTCGATACCTGGTTAAAAAAGAAATACAAAACTTCCGCTGTTCATTCAATGATTACACACATCAGCGGTACGCATCACACTCCGGACCAATTGTATGTGTGCAATGTGTTCTTATGTAGATTAAAATAGATTTAAATATGCTAAATTTAGTAAAGGTGATTTCCGTTTGATTTTAAGCCAATTTTCTACGATATGTACGAGGAAATCCTTCTGAGAGTTTTACGCTACCGGGTTATGTAGTAATAATAATTTAGTCGAGTATGGATTCTGTAAGAAAAAACTAATCAGTATGTTTCACGTTTTGCGATAACGTATGGCTAGAATGTGACCGTGAATGAACACACTATGAGAATACAACTGACAGGGAAATTATTCATAATCACATAACGGGCCTGCGAATAAAGTTTATCGGGTGACATGTAAAATTAAAAACGTTAAATTCGAGACGGTGTGTACAAGATATGTCCATTAGCAGAATACATTTGTAGGCAATGTATAAAAACATCAGAACTTACTCAAATAGGATATCCGCTGTAACCTCTTATCCAGAAGGACAGAAGATTCTGGAAGATATCGCTTTTCCCCAGGGGGTTTCCCTTATGGCACAGAGCGACTTTGACCGGAATTTATATTTTAAAACAAATACGTTGATGATGGTTAACGGTGATGTTTATCTCAACCAAGTCCCCTAAACTATCGAAAAAAATCAACCCATTGTAAGTAATATTTATAACTATGTATATTGGTTGTTTGACAAGGCTGATACCTTCATAATATACAACATTTGTTATATACACTATTTATATAGCGCCCTATATAATTAGTAAAATTACGCTAACGCACTTTACATCATAGGGATAATAGTATTAGTTATAATTGTTAAACAAAAGGCTTACAATCACCATTATACATTAATTAAGAAGATAATCATCTCAGTGTGCAAGTACATGAATAAATAACATGTCAATCTGTTTGTAGCAGAATTGAATACTACGAAATGACACCTCATCTTTATTTCATCTAAGAACTTTATCGCCTTTTACTAGCTGTGGTGAGGCACGCCGACCGCAAATCAAGATGGTTGTGGCGAGGGAAACCCACAACAAATGCCTGGGTATCATATTTCAGCAGTATAGGTCCAATGTGTCCACGCAATAAAAAGACTTCAGATAATGTGCACTCAATGTTGTTATCATGAGTTAGACATGATATTATCGAAATAAATAGAACGCACCATATTTTCTATAATATTTCAAGCTCATTAATGACAACACTAAATCTTACGAAAAGACACGTTAACTAAAGTCTATTTATTAATCTATGTCACATGACCATCACTTTTACATCTATCTATTGCTGATACCTTACCTGAACATTTGACTATGATTTTGGTGGTTTCAACTGACCTCAAATATCTTTATTTGAGAACTGTGTTCATCTCCATAAAAAATGATATCGTCATTTTAGGGGCCCATTGGGGTATGCGTGACATTATGTAAATCATGGGATTCTTTACAGCACGTAAGAAATTAAAATTAATATCCTTTTCGAGTTATATTTGTGACAGGTTTTATACCATGATAATAACTTTTTGCTGTGTAAGAAAAATAAAACATGTCAATTTTATCATGCCGATAAGTGAAGGTAAGCGTGCGGCACGGTAATTCTAACATGCACTGCAACTTTCTTTTGCAATTATATTGGATATAATTATTTCCTTTTTAGCCTTGCACGTGTTTTCACAAATTATATGCTAAATTAACATTTTAAGTGTTCTATGTAAATGCTACTGACATTACACCTGTCCAAATTCCATAAGATGCATATTGCATCTCTGTTAAACTATTCAAATTTCCTTGAAAGAACACAAAACATCACGATACACTGTATTTATCATCAAAACCGATTACTATCAAGCTAATATCTTATGACTTTATATCAATATATATTATAATGATGTACTTACAAAACAAGAGCTTTCGATAACTCACCATATCCTCTACTTGGTGATCAGCTGTATCATACAACTTTACATTAACACAATGTTTAGCTTGTAATATCAAAATATACATGTACCTTTAGATTTCGTTCCTATCACAAACAAGCGTCCATCGTGTACAGATATAATGTTGCTAAATTTAGTAAAGGGAATTTCCTGTTTGAAACTTCGGCATTAACGTGTTCGTAAAGAAGCGAACTGTTGATTGGTTGCGTTAAATACGGTGGTGAAGTAAATTTGAACGGATCAAGGCTTATTTGTAAACTGTTGGGTTTATCAACATAAACTGTGTGTTTAATAAGATAATTGACACATTCAACGGAATTCAAATTCATGTTAAGTTATCTTCAATTTTACTGAACTTCGTTTGATTCATTCGTAATCTCACTCTCACACCGAGAAAACAAACCGGTTGTGAAACGTTACTATTTATATCGAATATTCTCAATTGTATTATTTTGTTTAAGATATCAAACATTTACCTATAGCTGAAATTATAAAAAAAAAATTGTTGGTATTTATAACATGTACAACAAGAGTGCTTCAAGGATTAGTTAGTATCTGAATCTTATAGAAAAAGGAAAACGAATTGATTGAAACATTGGAAGATCATTAAGAGTTCTTTCCTGTCATTATGTCTATGTGAGTGAAGCACGAGAAGACTAATTAAGACATTAAATAGAAATAGATTCTGGTCAACTGGTTTGTTGTTAAATAATACCATCATATATGATTATATATGATTGTTTTCTCCTGTTTGGAGATGTATATTACCTTTTTTAATGTTTGCGACACTGTATCATTTTCGTATACTAGAAACATATATTAGACTTTTATATAAGTACATACTTTATCAGACTCCTTTAATATAGAAGTATAGACTATAGTTTATAGGACTTCTTTGATATAGGTGTAGCACACACTTGACTGTGTTGGCAATATACATATGTCCTACTATACCCGTTACTTGGTATAAACATGACGCATGACCATGACAAGGGGTTGTATTATGTCTAAATATAGATCATTCCACGTAGGTAGACCTAGTTATTGTAAACACGTTATGTGTGTAGGTGGATACTTTGGTTACAGTATTCACTACACCAACATAACATACCATTATATTCCTTTTCTTTAGTGTTGATGTTTCATATTTATTTTTAATTTTCCATAACATTAAAAGGAAAACATAAGACGGAAGATGAAATGTAGTTAATTATTGATATTTTAAGTTTTGTTTACGCTGAAATTTACTTTCCCATATTTGGTTAGTTTAGAAAGCTACATGTGCTAAGCTACGTGATACATAAATGTCACTGAATTGAATTTACAAATAAACAGTTTGATATAAATGAAGAAGCAGTATCTTTAACTGATTATTGTCAGTATACCTACAACACATGTCTTATAGTTTTCATCTTGTTAAGGCTTTGATTTCAATCAAATGAAATAAAAAATAATAAAAAAAGGTAATTTCTTTTCAATACTTTATGCAGCTTTTTACCAAACATCATGTCTATTTGATACCATCCTTAGACATAACGATGTCGCAATCTTTACTTTGTGTCTGATAACTTCAGTGTGGTTCTATAAAATCATGACGACATGCTTATTGTTATAAATGTGAAGTAACAGATTGTATTACGAACATATAATGATCTTCGCTTATTCCCGACGTAATACGTCACATATTCATCAAACAAAATAGAACATTAGCAATTTATAGTTTTGTAAAAATTGGAATATCTATGATTGGATAATCACAGTTATTTTAACTGTTTAAAAACAGTGCGTTTCAGGACATTCACCTTTTATTAACACAACCTATGTTAACGTTACTTAGTATTAATCCCAAATGTTTGTCAGTTTCATTTAAAATTATTACACTTACATTTCAACAAATTAAAATTAAAATACATTTAGTCAACAATATCTCAATTAAAAATGAAGTCAAATTGTATAATAAGTGAACAGTATTAAATGTAGACATTTGAACGTGTTTTTCCTTTATCAAGTGGTAAGATGGGATGCAGTGTACGCATATCAGAACAATGAGAATGCTATTTATATAAACTTATAATTTTATCAGGGCGAGAAACGTAATTCACTTATAAGTACTTTTATTGTGACGTCATTATAAACCAACCAATCCCTCGTCAAAAACAGAAGCAACATGTAAAATTTCACTTCCCTGATGGGTTTTTTTAAATGTTGTGGTATAAAATGGTTCCTCAGTTTTATATTGTTCGTTTTCATTTTTATCTTCCCTTCCAAATGACATTTCACTCGTAATAAACTGTTTTTACATGGTGTAGGTAGCTAAGTCGAGTTAGATCAATATTATCAATTGTCAGCATTCTTTAATTGAGAAACATCAATACCACAACTATATATATGTGTCTGTCCAATCACCTCACAATTAATTCCCAGAAGATTCAACTGTATATTTTAGGGATAGATATGAATGTATTACTAACAGCTAAACATTTTACTAAGAAACAAATGAACTGGAGATTTTTGTCACTAACATTTTTACTATTTGTCAACATATCTTCCGGACGGATTTTCCAAATTAAAGCGGTACGTGTCAAGGTTTTTTTATTCTCACTTAATTAACCCTAGGTAGATTTTCCTGTTATTCCCCATTACAAAATAACCATTGTGGACGCAATAAATAGGTTTCAAAGACTATGTAGGTAAATTTCATTTCGGACCTTAGGATTCCAGACTTGCTCTCGGGTAAGGTTTATTTCGAATGATATCTCTTAATGTTTTTCAATATTTCACCAGACAAATATAAATGGAATCACAAGCAGTTCTGCATCTAGAATCTCGAACAATTTTGTCACAGCCTTATGTGTAATCGAAAAGTAATACAACAATTGATGAGTAAATATATCAGTCATTCTGAATCATTTCCGAAATGAGTCGAGTGACACACGCGTGGGTTCAATGTCTCACTCAACTCACTAAGAGTCGATATACCCATGTAGCAAGACGTAAGGTAAGTTTATTTGAATTTACTTGATTAGTCTAATTTACAAAGATTACATCCAATTATTAATCCATAATTTAACAGCTCAATCTTAACTATAACTATATGAAACGTGGGAAACTCCCCGCTGTGTTATTGGTCGTCTCTATTTATAGTTACATACTTAGCCTTGCTCAAGTCCCTGCTTATTAACATCTACATGTACAACAGAAGTCAGTATATCAGCAATGCCAGGAATGTCTCAATATTTAATATCAATTATAACTAAAACAAATACAGATTGACATGATAATTTATTAGATTAATAAAAAAGTACTTAAGTAAGAATCATGTGTTCCAAGTCATCACTGAATGTAATAACTATGGGGCGTTTCTACTTTTAATTCCTATTTTACGAAAACAAATTTGAAAAGCGATTGAATGTCTTCTAGAAAGTAAAATATCTGCTGTTCCGTTCATAAGTCGTCTATCATAAACAGATTTAAAGGAGTTACATACAATCATTAAATATTGATAACAAAACCTTAGAATTAATTCAAACACGGAACAAATGATTAATTATTGTCTTCAAAAAAATACCTGATAAGATATCGGACGAAATATGTATATCCGTTTCGAAATCACGTTTGATCACGGACATCACGTTCGATACTCTATGACTAATACAAGCAGTGGACATTAGACCAACTGACATTTTCAAGTTAATTTCAGTGTATCTATTTTCAAGCAATGGTAATCTAAAATACAAGCATTGCACAATAATCAGTTAAGGATTTAACAATTAT